TAATGCTTGCGAATTGGATTTTGAGATGATAAAGATGATATATCGTTGTGGCGTGGATGTTTGGGAAGAGGTTCCTTCGGAATATATTTATGCACTTCACTGTATGTCATTGTTGCCACCTTGCACTTTGATTGGATCTCCTTATATGGTGGAAGGGCAACTTTGACAATTTTTCAAACACTCAAGGGTCACTCATTATTATTGGACTTTTGGTTTTCTTTTTAGTAAATCTAATTAGGATTGAGGAAGAAGAAGATTTGTTTTAAGGCAAATGCTACATAATAATTATTTGAATTTTGGTCTGTGTAGATTTATTTTGTGTGGTTAAGAAAAAAACAGAGGCTATCTAAAGTTGTTTAACTCCTAAATGAGATAATGCTTGCGAATTGGATTTTGATATGATAAAGATGATATATCGTTGTGGCGTGGATGTTTGGGAAGAGGTTCCTTCGGAATAGGTTTTCGCATTAGGGTTTTACGTTAAACAGATAAACCAAGCATCAACCTTCAAAAGTTTTAAAATCTTAATTTCACAGTGATTTCGGCAAACATGAAGAGGACATAGTCAATAATGATAAACCTTCAAATAGTTGTATAATGATAAACCATTAATCATGTCATTGAAGTTTTCATCCGACAACCGCTCCGCATTTAAAAATATAGGACATAGTCAATAAAATATTTAAAATATGAGCATATTGTTAAAGGTTAAGTTTGAATTATGATAACTAAAGTTCAAATGATTGAATAACTTAAAAGGGCCATTTCAAGTCAAAATATTCTTTTGCTAATATTTTTCATTTTTGTCTCTTTCAAAAATATAAATTTAATAAATCTATACTAATATTTTGGATTTGCTTTACATAATTGTCCAAATACTCTATTTCCATATCACATTTTTTTCTCCTCGAATTTTTGTATCTTTAAACTATTTAAATGTAATACATCTATAGTAATATTATGTACATTATTTACTTTTTAATTCAATAAATGACAATCAACTATATTTAAATTAAAATAGTAATAAAATTTTCAAAGCTTCATTTGCAAGGTAATTATTCACATATAACAAAGATAAAAAAAATTTGTTGATTTTTTTTGATTCGGTGATGTTTAATATCTCAAGGCATGAATATAGATTCCAGATAGTTTTTCATTTCATTCGTTGTCTAACTTAAACTTATTATATTTAAGTATAAAATGAAATACAAATTCAATAAAATTATAAAGTTAACGGGCACTAAAAACATAAACTATCAAAGTACTCTTTTGTACCACCAGTGCACAATACTAAAAATCGAACCACCTACGTTTAACTAAAAAAAATACCCAAATGACCACAAACCGGCCAACGGACCGGATACAACACTAGTTAATTATATAGCTTACTAATACACTAAAGCTTACTAAACATGTAAATTTTTGTTATGATATAAAATAGAGCTAATTACAATAAAGTCAACAAAAGATATAGTTGTGATTAATTCAAATTCTAAACATCTACTTCTATTACTCCATAATAACATCACTATTTTTAGCATCCAATCGCTATTCTTTTATACTTATTATATTTAAGTATAAAATGAAATACAAATTCAATAAAATTATAAAGTTAACGGGCACTAAAAACATAAACTATCAAAGTACTCTTTTGTACCACCAGTGCACAATACTAAAAATCGAACCACCTACGTTTAACTAAAAAAAATACCCAAATGACCACAAACCGGCCAACGGACCGGATACAACACTAGTTAATTATATAGCTTACTAATACACTAAAGCTTACTAAACATGTAAATTTTTGTTATGATATAAAATAGAGCTAATTACAATAAAGTCAACAAAAGATATAGTTGTGATTAATTCAAATTCTAAACATCTACTTCTATTACTCCATAATAACATCACTATTTTTAGCATCCAATCGCTATTCTTTTATATATATATATATATATATATATATATATATGGTGGCTTCTATGGTACCCCGGGTGAAATCCGGGGTACCGTATACCTCGAGTATGGAAACTCTATCTAGACCTTGAATTACCAGGATTTTTGTGTCTGATATTATACCCTAACCCTTAATGAGTGAACCGTTGGTCATAATTATATAAATCATAATCTATAAACCCTAAGATGGTGCATTCCTCTTTGTGCCTATATTTGGATGAATCATAACCGTCGATTATTGTTTCTAATTAAATTGATCTTGGAGTATAAGATTGGGAGAGTTAACACCTAGATTTTGGTCTTTAAGTGTTAGAGTATAGTATAATGTCTGAAAGATCGTTCAATTCAAGGTCTAGATAGTGTTTTCATACTCAAGGTATGCGATACCCCAGATTTCACCCAGGGTACCGTAGAACTCGCCATATATATATAGAAATATCCTTTGTGGGGCACAAGTATGAGTATGAGTTTCAGGCGAGGGAGTCTAAAATCATTCCGACCTTATCCTGTTCAATTTTTTTTTTTTGCGACTTATAGTTACACCCATATCTAATCTATGCAAGGTTACACACGACCGTGGAGGTTTAATTGACGTAATTAAGAGGGGGGGGGGTGTTAATAATAATTAAGAGGTTGTTTGGCTTGGTTCATTCATATTTTGTTTTATCAATTAAATCAGTTAACAAATTTATATCAATAAGGAGAAAAGTTTTTGGTGTAGCTTGTAATTACTCTTTTCATATTTTATAAAAAAAAAAAACGTGAACTCCCTTTTGGTGTTTGATATTAAATATATAGCTTGCTGGTAAAAATGGAAAAGATAGATAACTTTTTGGGTGTTTGAGCCTTTGAGGCACAGAGAATCCAAACGATGATGATAATTAAAGGCTAAATGTTTCGGATCAGTCTTTTGATGAAGATTTGGGGCAGATGATCTGCGTAATCATGATACCCAATGCCTCTCATGCCAACATCAACAACGCTATGCCAAAGGTAAAAAGGAAACAATCCAAGATCCATATCTGTCGGTATATATAAAAAAAAAAGAGGATTTGCCTTTACATTTTCTAGTTTATTTTTTGGCACAACTTTTTTGTTACACCACACAACATCTTCAATGGCAAGCCAAAAAATTACAATGGGAGTGCCAATATGCCAAAGAACCAAAATTTGAAGAAGCCAAATTTGGCAATGACAAAACGAGCTAAAAGTTTTGGGCACGCCCTGCGAGGGGATAAGGTATCGAGGGTGTCGACCACAAAGCGTATGTGAGTTCGTTCTCAGGAACACCATTTGAGCAACACAATCGAATTTGGCACATTAGACTCATCGAAGGAAACTGAACAACCGACCGACTGTCGAACGAAAATGATAGATGACATGCATTTTGTTGCTGGTGCTTTCTTTGGGGGTATGGATATGGTGTTGCGGTGTCTTTTGAAGGAAGATTTTTGTGTACATGATCTCTGCAATCATGAGATTCAATGCCAACCAAGTTTGCTCAACAGAAGTAACGAGAATATCCGCTAGCTTGTCTCCTCCGGTCCTCCCTAATCATCACTCAACAGAAGTAGCGGCTCAGAAAACGTTTAATTAGCATTTCTTTGGTGGATAGAGAGCTAACCAGGCAGCTTGCAGAACTGCGGAACGAGAATATAGAATATTAGAATACACACAATCCTAACATATCATACATGAATCTCTTGCAATAACTCTATTTATTAATTAGTACCAATTGATTAATTATAATAATCCTAACATTATTTCATAACTCATTTTGGGCACTAACCAAATAAAAATTCAACTCAATCCAAACCCTAAATTCTATAATTTAGGGGTGGTTTAGTTTTGATGATAGTTAAATAGATGTATTGTTATCAATGCATGCATAATAATATACATGTATATAAAAAAATTGGTGTATTATAGTTTGCATCGTTTGGTTTATGTGATAGTTATTGTGTTATATAAATAAGTCATCTTACTTTTTGGGTGAAATATCACTTTTACCCTTTGTTTGTAATATAAAAAAGCAAGACACATAAAAAGGTAGGGACAAAGTTGGAAGAAAATAACACACAACAATCTCAATCAAACAATCTCACCCAAAACTTGAGATTTAACTATCACTCATTTTGAGTGATAGATAGGGGTCGTTTGGAAGTTGAGATAGTTTTGTTGAGACTGTCATTATGCATGTATTGTTTACAATGCATCGGTTTTTTGTTTTTTTAGCAGAAACAATACATGGATTGTTTATGTGATATGACAGAAACTATCACTCATTTTGAGTGATTGTTATATCTCAACTTTTAGTTGTGATTGTTGAGATGGTTGAGTTGAGATTGTTTTGTCTCGGCTTTTAGCTGATACGACATACACAATCACACATACCAAACATTGTATTCTACAATGCATCAAATTCGACAATACATGTATAATATTATACATGCATTCTCAACAATACATCTATTTAACAATAGGAACTTCCAAACGACCCCATAATGTCACATCAAACAAACAATGCATGTATTGTTTGTACTGAAAATTCAAGAAAATGATATATGCATTGTAGACAATACATGTATTATAACTATCTCAACCAAACAATCACAAAAACCAAATTACACCCCCTAGATATGATTGTACATGATTGACCAAAAGTTATATTTATGACACCTTTTTGCCCTTTCTGCACTAGTTTCCAATGGTAGGACCTTAGGATATTAATTAATAATATGAATGTCCATTTTTGGATTCTGAAATTAGCAAATGTTTAGGAGGGAGATTTGACTGGGGTTTGAACACCCATACTCCATCCCTCATTGTACAACACCAAATCCAAGCCCAAGCCCCCCCAAAAGCATAGAAAGTTGCACAACACACACACACACAGCCTTAAAATTAATGAGCTTCTCCTCCATTCCAATACCTCTTCGTCTATCTCTCTTCTCCGTCTCTCTCCACATCTACCTTTGACTGACTACCTCAAATTACTTGTTTCTTTCTTCGCATCTTATAGGAATATATTGGAGGAGGTGGAAATGATGGCCGACCAAGGCGGCGGCGGAGGAGGGAGTGGTGTTGGAGTTGGAGGGATGAGGGATTACAGGAAAGGGAACTGGACGGTGAGCGAGACGATGGTGCTGATCGAAGCCAAGCGGATGGACGAGGAGAGGAGAACCAAGAGAGGCGGCGGAAGCGGGAGCAAGCCGGCGGAGCTTAGGTGGAAGTGGGTGGAGGATTACTGCTGGAGGAAAGGTTGCTTCCGCAGTCAGAACCAGTGCAACGACAAGTGGGACAACCTCATGCGCGACTACAAGAAACTCCGCGACTACCACCGCCGACTCACTACTACTACATTCCCTCCCCCCGCCCCCGCCGCCACTTACTGGAAGCTGGAGAAGAAGGAGCGGAAGGAGCGGAACCTGCCCACCAACATGCTCCTCCAGATTTACGACGCCCTCGTCGACGTCGTCGAGAGGCGAGGCGGCGGGAGCACTACTTTCCATCCGAGATTAACTTCCCCTACCTCCGGCGAGAACAACTTATTTGTTACGTCGCTGGCTATAGGCAATGTGATGATTGACAGATCAACAACTAACGTTGTTAGTGATCAACAACAACAGCAGGAGCAGGAGCAGGAGCAGCCGCCGCCTCCTCTACCTCTATTGATGATGACTTCATCACCCCACCATCAGATTCCACCACCGCAACCATTGGCAGCGGTTCCTCTACCACCGCCACCTCTAAGCGAGTCTCCTCGTCAGCAGTCACCCACAGTAGGTACTCTCTGCATTGCATTGTTTGTTTCACTAATTATAGATTTGGTGTAGTGATTCTCAATCTTTCTAGATGACAACATAATAATATATTATATAATCCGATCAGCATAATAATTAATTAATTAATTAATTTTGTGTGTGTTTGTTTGTTGTTGGGCATATTGATGGATGGGTTTGGAGATGTGTGGTGATGGTAGCTCAGATGAAAGGAGTGAAGAAGACTACTCGGGCTCACCATCACCTGCGCCTAATAAGAGGATGAGGACGTCATTACCCGGCGGAGGCGGGACCGCAGCCTCCAGCCCGGCCACGTCATCAGCAGGGGAGGAGGGGGATGCTCGAGCTGGAGTAATAGAGGGGAGGAGGGGGATATGGAGGATAGTGGAGGCGATTGAGGCGTGCGAGCAAGGACAAGAGCGGCGTCACAGGGAGATGGTGAGGTTGCAGGAGCGGAGGCTCAAAATGGAGGAGTCCAAGGCGGAGATGACCCGCCACGGGTTGGTGGACGCCATTAATAAGCTCGCCAACTCCATTCTAGCTCTCGCTTCTTCCTCCTCCTCCTCCTCCTCTTCCCCTCCTCCTCCTCCTCCTAATTCCCATAATAATAGCACCAAAACCCACAACAACCCTTCTACTTCTACACCCCCGCCACACTGATCGATGAAGCAACAAAACCCCAAATTAACCAACCACCCCACCCTTGTCGATCGATCGAACAATATCATCATAGTCATGGAAATTAAGTTGTTGTTTATTAATCTCATGTACGTACATATAGTAGTGTCCAGATGATCATTCATCCAGGAGAAGGAGATCACTCGACTCAGTCAGTAAGTCGATGGTAATTAATACATACTCTGATTATTAATTGGTGTACGTACACTTCACTACGTATGGATTGGAATGTACGATGTACGTAGCTATGTCCGGATCCAATAAGTGCTCCTTCTTGGCTATGCCTATATAGATAATTAATTCTTTCTGTTGATTAATATATCCATGGTTAGTTATTAGTTAACGTGATCAACATTGGTGATTTACCTACACTTAAATATAAGACAGTGGGTACGTAGTACAACAATTTAATCAATGAAGGGTTGGTTCATGGTTGGGTTTTTGTTTTGGGGTGTCAGCTAATTGATTTGACATATAGAAGAGAAGAATTGGCCCGTTGGGTTTGGTTTGGTTTGGCTGCATTTTCTGATCCGATCATTTATGCGGAGGTTAGTTGGGTTCAGAGCGTGGGGTAGTAGTGTGTACTTTGGGCAGGCAGAGGCAGAGAGCCGTAGGGCTGGTCAAAGAGGACCGGTCAAGGATATCTATCAATCACTTCTTTGAAAGAAAGAAAGAAAAAAGAGATACCAATACCATTGTCCTATCGCCTCCTGCTGGGCCACTACTCTTAGATTTCTTCTCACTATACTGCTGCCACACCCCATTCCCTTCCCTTCTCTTCCCTTGTTTATTATTATTGTTATTATTTTTCTCTTTTACTGACCACTGCTAGCTGCTGCTGCTGTTACTGCAACTGCAACTGCGACTGGCTATTATTGGTCGCAATCCGTGAGTGGTCCGCGCCTCGGATCATCCATACTCCATACGTCTTTACTGGCAGTGGTACTAGCTAGCTAGCTAGCCTCGTTTTTCTTCTTCCTTAAATCAATGTAAAGCTTCATGGGTCTTCCATAGTAAAACATGAAGAGCTGAACATTAAATTCAAATATGTTTTCTTTGCATGAATATGTGGATTGACCACATAATTTAATAATGCGATTCAGAGACGGTGATGCTCAACTGTTGGGACAAAATGAGGAAGATAAGCCCAACATCGGATTCGGGGCTGGGCTGAGGCCCAAATCAAACAAGAATTGGGATTAATTCGAATGCCTTTCTGTCTTTATTTCTTCCTTTATTCATTCTCTGCTCTCTAAGCATACGTGTCAAAACATGACCCCGCCCAACCAACTCGATCCGCAACCCACCCGTAACCCGATTTGACTAAAAGTAAAAAACCCACAACTTGCCAGACCCGCAATCCGCTCGCAACCCGATTTGACTAAAAGTCAAAGACCCGCAACCCGACTAACCCGAACCCACCCAATTGGAACGAATAATACTATATAATTGACTTAAACTATGTTCTTCACATACCCTACGTACCATCAATTTCATGACATGTAACTAGAGTTCAGGTTTTAAGGTTAGTGTATAGGGTATACGGATTAGGACGTATGTTCTTCCCATTAACTAAATATAAAATTGACTTAACTAACATTCTTCACACGTTATATTTATACCAATTTCATAACATATAAGTATATAACTATAGTCCATGGTTTAAGGTTAGTTTATAGGGTATACTATCATGGTTTAGAGTAAGGAAGATTAGGATGTTGTTCTTCTCAATTACCAAATATAAAATTTACTTAAATTACATTCTTAACATAACATACATTATAGTTTGTACTAACAATTTCATAACATATAACTATAGTTCATGGTTTAAGGTTTGTAGGGTATAGGGTCATGGTTTCGAGTTCCATGTTTGGGTTATGGTTAAGGGCTGAGGTTAGTTTTAGAATTAATGACTTAATGTTGTGGTTTACGGTAATGTATGGTTGATGGTTGAAGTTAGTTTTAGGTTTTAGGTTTTAGGGTTAAGAAGTAAGATGGTGCTATAAGGTTAGGGTTTAGGGTTTCATCATGGTTATGCTTTACGATAGATATTTTGGTTTTATAGTTTATTATTTAATTTGGTTTTAACAATTAATTTAGCTATTGGGTAAAAATACACATTTAAATGTTTTTGAAAACTTGTGAATGTATATCGTAAATATATCATATTCAAATGACATTTCGACCAACGGATCAAAAAACAAACTAGTTAATCAGTAAAAAATTTATCATCTATAATAATAAATATCAAAGAAAGGAAGAACAAGATGTTCACCAAAAAATGTAGGCAAAAATTTTTGAATCCAAAATTCAACATCACTTTTGAACCTGTTTCAGGTGGAAAAACGGGTGGATGAGTTGCGCCTGACATCTATGAAGGTGACGATTGTTACTACGGTCCACACCTCTTCAAACACTGTTCGAACGAGTATGTTTGGTGTATGGGGAATCTACGTTACCTTACACTACTCCTATGGAGATTCCTTGAGAGCTCCGCGACTACAACTAAGACTACTACTATGGAGGATCCTTCGTGGAGGAGAGCTCTGCAAACTAGAGAGAAAAAAGAAAAAGGGACAGTTGAGACAAGTTGTCTTTGTGTTGAGTTGTGATTGTCTGCATGCTCCAGAAGGTTGCTCCCAGTTTTGTTGCGTAGAGTCCTCCAACTACTCTCTCTCTCTCTCTCTCTCTCTCCTCCTCCTCCTCCTGAAAATAACTCCGCTTAGCCTCTACGCAAGTCAGTTGTCGCCAAGAAGTTTCTAGACATATCACCACGTCATCCTAGTTCAACATGGATGGTACCATCCAGCTAGTACTTTGGATGGTATCCATGATATTGGATGTTCACCATCCCATTAGTCCCTTGGATGGTGTCCATGATATTTGGGATGGTACCATCGATAATAGGATTTGGATGGTATCCATGATGTTAGACACTACCATCCATAATAGGATTTGGATGGTATCCATGTTGTTGGACACTACCATCCATAATAGAATTTTGATGGTATCCATGAGCTTGGACACTACCATCCATAATAGGATTTGGATGGTATCCATTATGATGGATGGATGGTAACAGTTACCATAGTTGGTACTGTCGCAATGTTGGACAGATACCTTAGGGCAAACTACTTAAAGTGTCCTAATTATGCATAAATACTACATGTGATAATTAATAAATTTATTTTGGTGTAAACAATTGCCCCCCCCCCCCCTCACAACTTAGTTCATAAAAAATTATGAACTAAGTTGTTGACCTCAACTACTCGTGGTACCAAACCACACGAATCAACCAGTGGCTTGCACAACACCCAATCACATAAGGAGTTTCCTTCCTTCATGGCCAAGTCACCCATGGCTTTCTTCTACTAGGCTTATGAGAAAGGCAAATTAATTAATGAATCTCTAAATAGTCAAGCCACCAAAAAACGTGGCTTTATTAATGCTTTTTCCTTTTCTGATAAGGAATGCAAATTCTTTTTCATGTAGGACACATCTTCATAACCCATATCCTACTAGCAAAAAGAAAACTCACTCCTATAAGGACACCAACAATTATTTTTCTTATAAATTAGTGCTCTCATCCATCAACTGGGATGGTGTCTTTTTACTTGATTCACACCATTCAAAAACCAACTTGGATGGCTTGTTCACTATTTTATTTATTTAATTAATTATTTTATTTTATATTTTATGGCAAGCTAGAAGTATCACCACTCGCCATAGCCCTTAGCAATAACTAAAGATCCAAAGGTATACACCCATTGCCAACTCCATTGGTCAAACAACACAAGCCATCCATACGTCACTTGGCTTCCTCATTTCAAAGGAGATATACCCACTAGAGTGACATTATCTATCTTAATGTTAGGATGCATGCTCCCAACATGATTTTTGACACCCTTGCTTGTTACTCCTTGCTTATCTACTCGAGTTACCCCAACCAGTACATTTGGTTGTTGACATCGACCCTTATGGTTGTGAGTTTCTCTATGAGGTACATCATGCATTCTCAATTCCTTTGAATTAGAAGGGAAACCATGAGCCCATCTCTGTCTTGGTTTCCTCCAAACTGCTTCATGTCTACTCTTCCCATAAGTTTTAGAGGATAGGTGCTTAGACTTTATAAGTCCACTACCACCTACATGACTCACTTTTTTCTTCCAGTAACCAACTTCTTTTTGACTCCTACACTTAATACACAACCACTTTTGATCTTTTATTTTACCAAGTTTTGTTGGTGCATATTGATACTTCTTGTACATGCCACCATGTCCACCATTTTTGGTTGACATATTACGGTCTTGTCCATCATTTTCTACACTCTTAAATTCATGCAAGCCATGAGTGGCTTGATCAGACTGCAGATTGTTTGACATGCCCTCCAATCCAATTTTTGTGGTCGGTGACATGCCCCCCAATCTATTCTTTATCATGCTCTTACTTTTACCCAGGCCATGCATAGGTTGAACTTTTTTGAAGTTGTCTGACATTCCCCCAATTCATCTTCATTGGTTGATGACATGCCCCCTGTCCAAACTTTGGGACACTGACTTGACCTTTTATTGCAAACTTTGGCAAATTGTCAAGTAAAGGCTTACATTGAAGTAAACCAACCTTCGTCAGTTTGGAGTTTTGCATGTGGTCACCATCCCAATGCTTAGAAGTGTTTTTGGTAACCATCATTACAACATCTCCTAACTTGGTGGAATTTGAGAAATTATTCTTCCACCTAGAGTATTGCTTTTGTCTCCGCCTGCCAAGAAACGGGATGACATGCCCCCTGGCAGCTTAACTGGACCATTACAATTAAGTTTCTCCTTATGCGTCTCTTTTTCAACGAACTCACATATGGTATGCATACCATGTATTTCATTTTTTATTTTTCAACGAACTTACATATACGTCTTTGCAATGGCTTTCGTAAGCAATCTCTAATTTTTGTACCCTTACAATCAGTGATGTTCATAGGAAAAGAC